CAATAATATATATATATATATATATATATACTTTTGATAAATCCTATAAGTGAATCTTTTTTTTTTTTAAATAACCACAAGAAAAGTTTATGTTTCAACGATGTATAGATAGATTTAGTTATATTTATTTTGTCTCACAAATAACGTGAAGAGAAAAGTAGTTTTAGAATTCAATATATTTAAATGTCTTATTTTACATGTATTTAAATTTTATATGATACATGAAGAGGAAAATTGCAGTGGGAACAACATAGAAGAAAGAACAGAGAACAAGCAAAACCAATGGAACAGGGAAAATGATTAAGCAAAGCAGTATATTCTATGTCATAAAAGCTGCATCCTAAAAACTGTAGTCCGCCTTATATAGGAGTGTTTTGCTATGAGTGAGGTAACACAATAAAAAGTGTAAATATCCTTTAGAACTATATTTAGTAAGATAAGTAGTGGAAAATGGGACTCATGGTATGTAATTCCTGCAGTCCAAAAGAAGTAATTCCACTTCGGTTCTCCCCCTCCGTGAGAGAAGTCGTGTCCTACGACTCGATTTCAGTGACTGTCGAATTAGTGGGGTGGTACGGACTAATGTCAACAACGTTGAATGTAGATGATGTCAGTACATCAGGAGGAAGTTCTACTACATATGCGTTGTCGATGATCTTGTGCTTGATGCAAACTGGGCCAAGCTTCCTCGGGCCATCTTGGAGTAGGTTCCGATGGGGTATCGTTCCTTCCTTAAGCACACTATAACTAGTTCACTTGGTTGGAAGGTCTTGAAGAATCGATGTACGTCTGCAATCTGTTTGTAGGAGTAATTTTAGGCTTTGCAAGGTGTTACGAACATTTTCCATCTTCTTTTTGAAATCTCCAGCTAGCTTGGTGGCTGCCACATTGTGACACTTGGGTAGGACAGTGAGGTCTACAATATGGTTAGGAGGTTTAGTATAGACATTATTAAATGGGCACATACTAGTGGATCTAATGGGCATGGAGTTGAAAACAAACTCCCCTTGGATTAGAATCTCATCCCATTTCTTTGGATTGTCTTGCACCAAACATCACAACATGTTGTCCAAAGTGCAATTTACTACCTCCGTCTGGCCGTCAGTTTGGGGATGGTAGGCAGAGCTTAATTTGAGTTATGTCTGCAGTTTCTTCAACAGCTCTTGCCAAAAATGACTAATGAACTTGAAGTCGTGATCAGACGTGATACTTCTTGGGAGACCATGGAGGCGGATGATCTCCCGAAAAAACAACCGAGCAATGCCGAGAGAATCCGACGACTTCTTGCTTGCTATAAAGTGAGCCATCTTAGAAAACCTATCAACCAACACCATGATTGAATCAACACCTTTCTTGGTTCACAGCAACCCGAGCACAAAATACATATTAAGATCTTCCCAAATGGACATTAGGACAGGTAGCGGGTGGTACAAACCCATGTTTTGGATGTGGCCTTTATATACTTGACATACCGGGCAGTTTTGCACAAACGTTGCAAAATCCTTCCACAAATGTGGTCAAAAGAATTGTGCCCGCATTTGTTTGACTATCTTCTCATGGCCCAAGTGAGCAGCCAATTCGCCGCTATGCATCTCTCGCACTAATTGCAGGCTAACAGAAGAAGCTAGAACACGTAATGAGTTCCGTTTGAATAGGAACCCATGTCAAAGTGTGAGGTCACCCATTGGCTGCTCGGCAAAGCACTTCCCCCCCATATCGACAAAATCTTTGCCCATGCAGTACAAGTTATTTAGAGTCTCCATCCCCGTAATTTCAGTCTGGAGCTGGACTAGAAGAGCAGAGCGACGGCTCAGCGCGTCGGCGACTCTATTTTGTTGTTCAGACTTGTGCTTGAGCTAAATTTCTATAAAAATACAATCCACCTTGCATGCATTCTATTAATACTTTTTTATGTATTTAAATACTGGAGGGCTTGGTCGTCACTGCACAAAATAAAATCATTATGTAAAAGATAATGCTCCCATTGTTTAAGTGCCCAAATTACCGCTTATAATTCTTGCTCATATGCTGACCACTTCTGTCTGGCAGGGCTGAGCTTCTCACTGAAGAACTACACAGGACGACCTTCCTGCGAAAGGATGGCACCTACGCCCACAGCCGAGGTGTCGGTATCTACATGAAATGGTTTGTCAAAACTAGGAGCTGCTAAAACCAGAGCAACCGTGAGAGAGGTTTTGATGGTGTCAAAACTACGTTGTTGTTCGGCCCCCCACTTGAATGAACCAGCTTTTAAACAATCAGTAATTGGGACCATGATTATGCTAAAGCCGCAAATAAACCTCCTGTAAAAATTGGCCAACCCGTCAAAACTGCGTATCTCGATCAAGGTGATGGGTTGCGGCCATTGTTGGATAGCAAGAACCTTGTT